GCTACGTATGGCACACAAGGCAAATGTCAAATTGCAAATATCAGAATGTTTAAACACGAAATTTATGTCAATGTTCAGAAAACTAAAAAACTACTGCTGTAGACAGAACTACAATAGAACTATTGCCAGACTATAGTCAATCCTTTAGTGCAGACTATTGCGTCTGTAATCAAGACTATAGTTCAAACTGTAGACAACCCTATAGTCCAGATTATTGTCCAGTATATAATAATGAATGTAATCCAGGACTATAGTGAAGACTTGACTATAGTTACTTCTATAGTCCAGACTATAGACCAGACTAAAGTCAGGACTATATACCAGACTAAAGTACAGACTATGCTCAAGATCACTTGGAAAGTAAGACAATAATTTAAACTATAGTCACTGGACTATAATCTGTTGTCCAGATTATAATCCGGAATATAGTTTAGACCATAGTCCAGATTGGACTATAGTCAAGAGTATAGTCCAGACTATAGTCCAAGAATAAAGTCCCGCCAACTGTTCGGACTATAGTCCAAACAATAGTCCAAGGTGTAGCCCAGACTGTACTCCAAACTGTAGTTAAAACTATAGTCTAGGCTAGACTAAAGACGAGAGTATACTTCAGACTATAGTCAAGAGTATAATATACACTATAGTCCCGACAATAGTCCAAACTACAGCCCCTACTATAATCCAAACTGGAGTTAAGACTATAATACAAACTATATACTATAGTCAAGACTATGGTCTATAGTCAGGACTTTGGTGCAGACTACATTCTAGACTATGGACCACACTATATTCCAGCCCATAGTCAGGAATATAGTCTTAACTGTAGTCTTGACTCAAGACTATGGTCCAGACTATATGCAAGACATAAGTATTGTGCAGACTATGGACTAGACATAGTCCAGAGCACAGTCAATACTATGTACCAGACCATAGTCAAGATTATAGTCCAGAATATAGTCAAGACCAGATTATAATCCAGACCATAGTCCAGACCGTATAGTAAGTAGCATAGTACAGACTATAGCCCGGACTACAGCCTAGACAATAGTCCACACTATTGTCCAGGATATAGTCAAGACTATAGTCGAGATAATAGTCAAGGCTAAAGTCCAGACTTTAGTGAAGATTAGTGAAAACAGTAGTCAAGACTATAGTCCAGACTATAATCAATACTATAATCCATCAGGACTATAGTTAAAACTATAGTCCAGGCTATAAACAAGACTAAAGTCCAGACTATAGACTAGACTATAGTCAACACTAAGGTTCAGACCATAGTCAAGACTATAGTCCAGAATATAGTCAAGACTATAGGCCAGAATATACTCAAGACTATAGTCAAGACTATGGTCCAGACTATGATTCATACTATAGACCCGACTATAGTCCAAACTGTAGTCAAAACTATTTTGAAAATGTAAAACTATTAAAATATTCTTTAAATCAAAGCAAGACCAATAACTGCTACTTCACACATTGGAATATGCACAACTATCTACATACATACCTACAGATCTATGGGTAGGAATGTTAGTTGTCTCAAAAAGAAGCAACAACAACAACATTAAATATTATAAACATATTTAACCATATGGTCAATGAAGCTTAACAAAACTGTGTTTCATAGATAAAAACTATGATATGTATTTCTATGTTATTGGCAGTTTGTTTGGTCGTTTACAAAAAGGTAGAGAACAGAGACAGCCTAATAAACAGCAACTTAAATAAACACTATATAAAAGAATCAAGTTGAAAAACAGGTGCTGAGATGAACTTGCGTCAGCACTAAATAAAAATGCAAACTGAGAAAAACATCTAAAGAAAGCTGCATTCATATATGAATATCACAACAACAGCAACCGGATTCACAGTATCCAATGAAACCACAACAAAACCAAGAAAACCACCAAAACCAACCCACACACATATTTTTTTTTTGCTACACAGCAGCATGCTGTGGCAGCAGCTTTTGCTACGATTACACACAGTAAAATTAATATTAACAGGTATTTTTATACTCATTATTAAAGAGCAGAATAAACTAAAGGAGTAAAAGAGAGTTGTAATTTCAAAACAACAAATACAAATTGAAGTACATAGGACAAAAACAAAATAAGTTTTTGCATTTACGGCTAAAGGAATTCAAAAGAAAAGTGTAATGAAATGCAATAGAATGCCACAAATAAGAATAAGAGTTACATATACATAAATAGCTTTTAAAGCAGGGATGGCAATATGTTAATATTTGTAATTAAAGAGAACCGATTCTTTAGATTCCGATTAAATTTCTCTTTTAAAGAAAAATTAAGTTTTTAGCAAAAATTTTTATTAAAACTTTAAGAAAACACAATTGGATCAAAAGCCAATGTTTTAGACTGTAGTCCAGACTTTATCCAGATTTCAGTCAAGACTTTTGATCAAACTTCAGCTAATACTTTTATCTAGATTTCAAGCAAGACTTTTGTTCAAACTTCAGTCAAAACTATTGTCTAGACTGTAATCAAAACTTTAATCAAGAAAAGTCGAAACTACAACACTAAGACAAAGCTTCCAGCATTTTCTTTACAAGTGAAAGTCATATCTGTTCATTTATCGGACTAATAGTAGAGTGGTCCTAACTACCAGAAGATAATCTACATGGGAAAATATCCTTCAATCTTTCAGGCGGATATCTACGCTATCTTCATCTGTGCTAGGGAGTGCGTGAGGAAAATGATAATGGATCTGATAATTTACATAATGTCAGGCAGCAAAGCAGAGCTCAAGGCCTTACTTTGGTATGAAGTTAAGTCGGTTGTTATAATAGACTGTGTGACATCATTGAACGAACTGGGTAAACATAACAATTTAACACTTTTTTGCGGTTGTATTCTGTTCTCAGAATACTAACGGGACTACTCACTGGACACTGTGGTCTCAGATATCATCAATTCATCCTAGAAAACCTGTTATGGTGAACCCACGGGTTGCACAAAAAATCCAAACTGGGTCGCAGTGCTTAGGGCCCTGTTTAATCTAATCTAATTCTAGAACAATCGTAACATGACATCAGGATGTTTGGAATCTTAATTACTTTTCATAAACTGTCTTGAGAGCGTTTGGTTTAAAGGAAATTCTGCTAGTATATAGTTATAGAGTATTCTGCCAGAATATAAACGTTTCGAGTATTTAATGGTCCTCACCAGGGTTGTAAACAGTTGATTTTTAATGGTCTTCGCATTTGGTCTCCACTAGTCAAAATGAAAGCTCGAGTTTGATATAGACTTTGCATAACAGGACAGTTATATCATACAAGTACGAGCGAGAAGCTATTCCGACAAAAGTCAAATAACAGGCAAAAACCTTTTTAAAAAATAATGACGATGGCGAGAGAGTGTATTAAAGATTAGATAAATCGACTTTCAGACAATTGACATTGAAATTGACTATTTTGTCCTATCATTGTCGAAAAGTGGACTATTATAGAAAAAAGTAGAATAAACAATTTTGTCGTTAAAGAAAATGCTGATATGTGAAAAAAGCGGTGAAAAACTATATTAAAAAACAAAGTTATTTTTTGTTGCGGACGGACATCAAAAATAGAATTATGTCGAAAATGGTCAATAAATTTTGAAAAGTCGAATATTTCTAAATTGTACAATAAAAATTCTTTTCTGATTGTATTTCAGAAATTTACATTTGTATTTCAGAATATTCAATTCTTATTTCAGAATTTCCATTTGTATTTCAGAATTTTCGAATTGTATTGCAAAATCTTTCATTTGTTCTGAAATTTCCATTTGTAATAAGAATTTTAAATTGGTATTTCAGAATATTTCGTTATATTTCAGAAATTTTTAATAGAATTTTCATAACAAAATTTCTGAAATAGAAAATTCTGAAATAAATAATGACTAATCTATGGAGTAGAAAAGTCTATGGACTAGTATTTTGCCAATTCTATTGACTATTCTTTTGAATTGTCTAGGAGTAGTGTATTAATGTCTATGGACTTGTCTATGTCTAGTCTCTGCTCTAGTCTATGGTCTAACATCTGCACTATGCTACTGAAAAGTCTCTTCACTACTCTATTTTATAGTCTCTGCATTAGTTTACTGACTAATCTATAGTATTGACTAGTCTATTGATGAACTAGTCGATTGACAAATCTATTAACCCTATGATCTAACCTTTTGAATAGTCTAGGACTAGGCTGTTGGTTTAGTCCATTGACTAGTTTATTATAGACTACTCTATACTCTAGTCCATGGACTAGTCTATAAACTATTCTGTGGGCTACTTTATTGGCTAGTCTATTGACAAGTGTCGACACTAATCGATTGATAAGTTTATTGACTAATCTATTGAATGTTTTATTGACTAGTTTGTTGATTATCAGAAGGAATAGTCGATTGTCTAGTCTATTTAACAATCTATGAACTAAGTAGTCTTTTGAATAGTATAGGACTAGACTATTGGCAATTATATTGACTAGTCTGTGCTATAGGCCAGTCTATTGACAAGTCTCTGTACTAGTTTATTTACTAGTTTATGAACAAATCTATTGTTTTATTGATTACTCGAATATCATTCAAAAGTTAGTTAAGTTTTAACCAATACTGTAACTTAGAAGACTTTTTTTTGTAAATCGATTACAAATAACTTCAAAAGCCAAAATATGCAACAATTAACAAAACAACAATAGATAATAACTACTACCCAACCCTGTTATCTAACTGACAAACTGAAAAAAGAGCACAATAAACAAAACAGAGAGTAACTTAAACAACTAAAGAGACTTTAATATAAAAGAGGAGTAAAATAATAAAACTTAACAAACAGCAAGGAAAATGTGAGAAAAAAAATAAAACAAAAATAAAAAAACGCATTGCAATTGAAATTGCAAGGTGACACCCTTTTCAAAGTGGAAAACTTCAAAACAAACATTTTTTCTATCCCTGACAATTAATTAAACAATAATTAACTTGAAGTGAGAATAATAATAATAATAAAAAACTTACCTTTTCTTTGGCACGTCCAGCGTGTTTTTGTACAGATTTCGCCCAACATGATTCCTTTATTTTCAGCCATTAACAATTTGACACAATTTTCTTGTTTTTCTTTAATAAATTAAAAGGTTTTAGTTATTACGGTTTATTTTTAGCACTTTTCGTTTTATTACTTTTTAATTTTAAATACCTTTTTGTTAGAAAATTTTAATACAAAAAATTTTCTTTGTATTTTTTTTATAATTTATTTAGTTAAATGCACAATAATTCTTTAATTTTTTTATATTTTTGTAAATTTTTTAAAATTTTTGTAAATTTCGCACTTGTTTTTTTTTTTAAAATATATTTTCGTTAAAAAAAAAATTATAAACTTTTATTCTGGCACTTAAAATAGCAACAATAAAAACAAAATTTCGTCTAGTGAAGTGATACTTGAGACACTATTTGCTTGCTCGTACGCTTTGCTCGCTATAGGCCCCCAAAAAACACTGAAACTTGCTGCTGAAACTGAAATGAACTGAACTGGTCGGTCGTTGGGTTCGTTTGACTCTGTGTGTAGTACGAAAAGTTGTACGTTAAAGAAGAAATATTTATTGTTGAAATAACAAAAAAAAAAACAACAAAAACAACAACAAAAAAGCAATAACAAAATACTTTGACAAGAAAAGCAAGAGAATAAAATTAGCAGCAGCAGCGTTGTTGTGTACTGACTAACTAACTAACTGACTGACTGTATGACTGGCTAGATGGCTGGCTGAATGACAAACACGCGAACAGAACTTTACGATGCAATTGAATACAAAATAGCAGTACAATAGCGAACAACGAGATGTGTTACGTTTAACGGCTCCAACTCAACTCAGCATGCTACACTACGCGTTATAATCAAATAGCCCCCCACCAAAAACAATTTCAAAATGTACACACACTCACAAATACCATACCAAAGCTATACCAGTGTGAGAAAATAAAAGCTCTCTACTACTCTCTGTTATTTGTTTAATAAAAATCTCATTTTGAAAATTTGTCATACATCTCCTTACCGTTATACTAAATACCTGCTCTCTGCTTACAAACCGCTCACTAATTAAAAAATTAAAAGTTTATTTAAATAAAATTATATGTTTTTTACCTTTAACAAAAAAATCATCGATCACTTTTGCTCTTTCTTTTTTGTTAACTCTCTCTTTCTCAATTTTATCTCTATTCCTATCCCCCCTTTTCTAAAGCTTAGTAAAAAAGCTTTATTTTTATTATTTCCCCCAGAAATTCTCCACAATTTACTACCACTCTGCTTAGTGTAAACTTTCTTTACATTCGAAATTAAGTTCGAATTTAAATTCGATTTTTTGAACATAAATTAAAAAAAGTTTTGAAAATAGTTAACAATTTTCGAAATTTTTTAAGAAATTGACCTCAATGACAACAAAAATGTTCTTATTGATTCCCTTGATTAAGAGCTTTCAAAATGTTTCGATCATAACTTCGAATTTTCGAAAATATCATTAACTGATGAAAATATTGAAATTTAAAAAAAAGTTTCGAAATAAACTTAAAATTTTTGAACTTAACTTCAAATTTCCGAACTTGATATATTCTTAGTCTATAGTCTAGTCTATATTCTAGTCTATAGTCTAGTCTATAGTCTAGTCTATAGTCTAGTCTATAGTCTAGTCTATAGACTAGTCTATAGTCTAGTCTATAGTCTAGTCTATAGTCTAGTCTATAGTCTAGTCTATAGTCTAGTCTATAGTCTAGTCTATAGTCTAGTCTATAGTCTAGTCTATAGTCTAGTCTATAGTCTAGTCTATAGTCTAGTCTATAGTCTAGTCTATAGTCTAGTCTATAGTCTAGTCTATAGTCTAGTCTATAGTCTAGTCTATAGTCTAGTCTATAGTCTAGTCTATAGTCTAGTCTATAGTCTAGTCCAGCGGTTCCCACCATTTTTTACTTCGCGGACCCCTTGAGGAATTTATTTAATTTCACGGACCCCCATACATATTTTGATATCTTATTGTTATAAATAACACTGTGATACAAAAGTGAAGAAAAATAAAATGCAGGCGTTCTCATATACCAATTCTATTTCGTTATAGTCCATAGAGTACGAATATATTTTTAGTTTTCCCCTATCACTTCGTTAACTTACTTTTTAAGAGCAAAAGATGCGAAAAAGAGCCATTTTTGAAGTTTTAAATTTGAAAAATCATAAGTTTAGTAGTTTTCATCCGATTTTCAAATCCGATTTTTTTTTTAATGATACAAGTGTCTTTTAATCCAAAAAAAGAAATCCAAAATTTATGGTCAAATGTCTGAGTTACGGTCGTTTAAGTAAAAAAACTCACACTTTTTTAAAAAATTTTCATTTTCATCATGCTCTACTTTGACCATGAGGCAGTGAGTTCATCTTTTATTACTTTCCTGAAGAATCACATAAAGGAAGGTTTCTAAAACTTGTTATTTCATAAAAATCTATGAAAAACTGGATAATTTATGCCAATTTTTCTAATAGCATGTTTCTCGAATTTTTGGTTTTCTCCATACAAATTAATTTTTGTATAAAAATGTTTATAAACATTTTTTAAACTTGTTACAAAGAAAACCAGAAACATGAACGTTTTTGTATGGAAGAAATATGCTATATTTTTATAAAACTTAGCACAACTCATAACCTTTTTCATCGATTATCATAAATTGACCATCATTGGAAACCCAACTTAATGTGGCTTTTTCAAATGTAATAAAAGCTAAAGTTATTGCTTCATGGCCAACGTAGAGCAGTATGAAAATTAAAAATTGTGAAAAAAGTGTGAGTTTTTTTACTTAAATGGCCGTAACCAAGACATTAATCATAAATTTTGGATTTATTTTTTTGGGTTGAAAGACAACACTTGTATCTTTAAAACAAAATATCCAATTTGAAAATCGGTTGCAAACTACCAGACATATATTTTTTAAAGTTAAAACTTCAGAAATAGCTCTTTTTCACAACTTTTGCTCTTAAAAAGGAACTAAACGAAGTGATCGAGAAAAATTAAAAATAAATTCCTACTCTATGGACTATAACGAAATGGAATTGGTATATGAGAACCCCTGCATTTTTTTGCTGTATCACTGTGTAATTGTTCGAAAATTGTCTTAGTCCTGGTCCATAAACCCTATAAAATATTCCCGTACATTGAGAACATTTAGTATTTCGGAGATGTTTTCAATTTCATGGTTTTAAATATAGAATGACTTCTAACATGATGTTTAATTTTATGATCGTGAGAGCTTTCATGTTCATTTCTCGTCAAGGTAGAGAAAAGGTTTCTTTAACAAGTATTGTCGACATGTGCTTAAAGAGTCATGTTTCTAAATTTTTTTGCGATTGCATAGGAGTGAGCTGAGTATGTAAGCTAAATTTTCGGGAAAATATGTGAAAGTTAGACTTCTTCGATGTTGTTGCGGAATGCGTTACCCACATAAAATATGACTTGAACTCTTTGCGAATGTACTGTGAATTTGGATCTTAAATTTGAATTTTAAAATACCTACGAATTATTTTACTGCGTGGTTTTGACTATTTACGCAAAACGCTATGAATTTTCTGATGTTGATTTAATAATATTGGACAACAAAATGAAGTTAAAATCTGTGTATCACGTTGGAATGGAATATTTATATTTAAAATTAACTAGATTAACACTTTTGCTTACAATTTAAAAAAATATTATGAAATGTGACCTAACTTCATATTCCGGGATACTAGTATCAGTATTTAATTCTAAGGCAAATCATTATCCGTCTGCTATGAAAACATTATATTATAAAAATTACAAATCACGTACTTTACTTTATAAAAGTGAAACAATAAATTTGTAGCGCCTAGCTTCATCCTGATAAACGACCGAAACAATAAAAGTCAAAGAGTCACCAACAAATCTGGGGATTTGTGTATTTTAGTATTTATGAAAATTTGGAGATATTTTTAATATTTTGTAACATATAGAGAATATTTTTTATTCATGATTTTTTTCGTTCGTCTTCACGGACCCCCTAGGATTTTGCTACGGACCACTAGGGGTCCGCGGACCCCCTTTTGGGAACCGTTGGTCTAGTCTATAGTCTAGTCTATAGTCTAGTCTATAGTCTAGTCTATAGTCTAGTCTATAGTCTAGTCTATAGTCTAGTCTATAGTCTAGTCTATAGTCTAGTCTATAGTCTAGTCTATAGTCTAGTCTATAGTCTAGTCTATAGTCTAGTCTATAGTCTAGTCTATATAGTCTAGTCTATAGTCTAGTCTATAGTCTAGTCTATAGTCTAGTCTATAGTCTAGTCTATAGTCTAGTCTTAGTCTAGTCTATAGTCTAGTCTATAGTCTAGTCTATAGTCTAGTCTATAGTCTAGTCTATAGTCTAGTCTATAGTCTAGTCTATAGTCTAGTCTATAGTCTAGTCTATAGTCTAGTCTATAGTCTAGTCTATAGTCTAGTCTATAGTCTAGTCTATAGTCTAGTCTATAGTCTAGTCTATAGTCTAGTCTATAGTCTAGTCTATAGTCTAGTCTATAGTCTAGTCTATAGTCTAGTCTATAGTCTAGTCTATAGTCTAGTCTATAGTCTAGTCTATAGTCTAGTCTATAGTCTAGTCTATAGTCTAGTCTATAGTCTAGTCTATAGTCTAGTCTATAGTCTAGTCTATAGTCTAGTCTATAGTCTAGTCTATAGTCTAGTCTATAGTCTAGTCTATAGTCTAGTCTATAGTCTAGTCTATAGTCTAGTCTATAGTCTAGTCTATAGTCTAGTCTATAGTCTAGTCTATAGTCTAGTCTATAGTCTAGTCTATAGTCTAGTCTATAGTCTAGTCTATAGTCTAGTCTATAGTCTAGTCTATAGTCTAGTCTATAGTCTAGTCTATAGTCTAGTCTATAGTCTAGTCTATAGTCTAGTCTATAGTCTAGTCTATAGTCTAGTCTATAGTCTAGTCTATAGTCTAGTCTATAGTCTAGTCTATAGTCTAGTCTATAGTCTAGTCTATAGTCTAGTCTATAGTCTAGTCTATAGTCTAGTCTATAGTCTAGTCTATAGTCTAGTCTATAGTCTAGTCTATAGTCTAGTCTATAGTCTAGTCTATAGTCTAGTCTATAGTCTAGTCTATAGTCTAGTCTATAGTCTAGTCTATAGACTAGACTATAGACTATAGACTAGTCTATAGTCTAGTCTATAGTCTAGTCTATAGTCTAGTCTATAGTCTAGTCTATAGTCTAGTCTATAGTCTAGTCTATAGTCTAGTCTATAGTCTAGTCTATAGTCTAGTCTATAGTCTAGTCTATAGTCTAGTCTATAGTCTAGTCTATAGTCTAGTCTATAGTCTAGTCTATAGTCTAGTCTATAGTCTAGTCTATAGTCTAGTCTATAGTCTAGTCTATAGTCTAGTTTATAGTCTAGTCTATAGTCTAGTCTATAGTCTAGTCTATAGTCTAGTCTATAGTCTAGTCTATAGTCTAGTCTATAGTCTAGTCTATAGTCTAGTCTATAGTCTAGTTTATAGTCTAGTCTATAGTCTAGTCTATATTCTAGTCTATATTCTAGTCTATAGTCTAGTCTATAACCTAGTCTATAGTCTAGTCTATAGTCTAGTCTATAGTCTAGTCTATAGTCTAGTCTATAGTCTAGTCTATAGTCTAGTCTATAGTCTAGTCTATAGTCAAGTCTATAGTCTAGTCTATAGTCAAGTCTATAGTCTAGTCCTACACATTTCGAGCTATAGTCCAGTCTATTGTCAAGGCTGTTCGTATAGTTTATAATCTCGAGTACATGACCACTTGGGTATTTCCAAAACTACTCCCGTGCAAACATTATTGGAGTACATGATCAGTTTTGTAGTCCTATGTAATAAAGGCATGGATCATGTTTATTTTTTTGATAACAACATCGTAACCATCATTACTCTTGCGGATTACGTACAAGCATAATTTTAGCAGGGGAGTATTTTTGAAATTACAATGATGTTATGTTATCCACGCCTAGGACACCACAATGTTAAATGGAGTATGTATTTTCAATATTCAATTTGGATTAGTTTTGGACCAGTCCTAGTCATTTGAGGAGTACTCTTTACACGAGTGTGCGGAGATGTCTCAATTTTTGCAGCGTTATATCACTTTTATAATTAATAATTTTAATCAATTTTAAATACCTTTTAAGTTATAAATAATAATTTGTCAATAAAATTAATATGATTATTAATTAGATTCCAATAAGAATTTCGCACTCCCTAAATAAACCACCCAAAACTGGGGAAAAAAAAGAGTCTCAAACAACCGGCAACAATAATGCAGTTGGAAAATGATTTTTTTTACTTTAATAAATTACAATTGCACTTTTTTGTTTTTGCGACATAATTATTAAGTTATATAAACACTAAACTACATTTTGATTAAAATTTTGCACTTTTTATATATTTAATATTAATATTTTCTTTCTGTATAGGAATTTAATTTGCCGAAATTATTTTGTTTATTTTGTTGCACTTTCCGTTTGTTACTGAAAATATCTTCATAGCAGAGTAGTTAAAGCCGGAAGAAACAGTGTGAAATTGAAACATCATTAAGTGAGTTGTGTTAATTCAAAGTGGATGTACATTTAGGGTTTTTTTGGGAAATACAGTTACATTTAAATGCAGATTTTGTTAAAGGTAATTTCATTTCTCTTAGGTTTTTTATTAAAAATGGAATTTTGAAGAAAATCACATAAAGTATGGATGAGATTTTTCGATTCGATTTTCTAAGTATGAAAAGCTGTAGGCATCCGCACTTCCCCGCGAGATGATAGACCAGGGTTTCATCAGGTTAGAGAACAGCAAAACATCTTAACCAAAAAATTACTCTGAATCTAAGGAACTTTCTTACCTAAAAGTTGTTCTGAACCTGCAAAACTTTCTTACTCAAATTGGCTCCGAAACTGGTCAATGCTTTTAAAGGAAAGTTGCTCTTTCTTAAAAAAGTTGGTCTAAATCTTTTCAAATTTTTTTTTTTGCAAATTGCAGCCTCCATCCAGAACCCCCGATTAAAATTGTATAGTTTGAACTGTTACAACAACAACAAAAACATTTCCATTTAAACGAATTTTAAGAAAACTACAAACCCAAAATATACGCTTAGTCTGGACTATAAAATAAACTACGACTATAGACTAGACTGTAGACTAGACTATAGACTAAACTATAGACAAGACTAAATTATAGAATAGACTATAGACTAGATTGTAGACTTGACTATAGATTATACTTAAGACAAGACAAGACTATAGACTAGACTATAGAATAGATTATAAAATACACTATAGACTAGACTATAGACTAGACTATAGACTAGACTATAGACTAGACTGTAGACTAGACTGTAGACTAGACTATAGACTAGACTATAGACTAGATTATAGACTAGACTGTAGACTAGACTATAGACTAGACTATAGACTAGACTATAGACTAGACTATAGACTAGACTATAGACTAGACTATAGACTAGACTATAGACTAGACTATAGATTAGACTATAGACTAGACTATAGACTAGACTATAGACTAGACTATAGACTAGACTATAGACTAGATTATAGACTAGACTATAGACGAGACTATAGACTAGACTATAGACTAGACTATAGACTAGACTATAGACTAGACTATAGACTAGACTATAGACTAGACTATAGACTAGACTATAGACTAGACTATAGACTAGACTATAGACTAGACTATAGACTAGACTATAGACTAGACTGTAGACTAGACTATAGACTAGACTATAGACTAGACTATAGACTAGACTACAGACTAGACTATAGACTAGACTATAGACTAGATTATAGACTAGACTATAGGCTAGACTATAGACTAGACTATAGACTAGACTATAGACTAGACTATAGACTAGACTATAGACTAAACTATAGACTAGACTATAGACTAGACTATAGACTAGCCTATAGACTAGACTATAGACTAGACTATAGACTAGACTATAGACTAGACTATAGACTAGCCTATAGACTAGACTATAGACTAGACTATAGACTAGACTATAGACTATAGACTAGCCTATAGACTAGACTATAGACTAGACTATAGACTAGACTATAGACTAGACTATAGACTAGACTATAGACTAGACTATAGACTAGACTATAGACTAGAATATAGACTACACTATAGACTAGACTATAGACTAGACTATAGACTAGACTATAGACTAGAATATAGACTACACTATAGTCTAGACTATAGACTAGACTATAGACTAGACTATAGACTAGACTATAGACTAGACTATAGACTAGACTATAGACTAGACTATAGACTAGACTATAGACTAGACTATAGACTAGACTATAGACTAGACTATAGACTAGACTATAGACTAGACTATAGACTAGACTATAGACTAGACTATAGACTAGATTATAGACTTGACTATAGACTAGACTATAGACTAGACTATAGACTAGACTATAGACTAGACTATAGACTAGACTATAGACTAGACTATAGACTACACTATAGACTAGACTATAGACTAGACTATAGACTAGACTATAGACTAGACTATAGACTAGACTATAGACTAGACTATAGACTAGACTATAGACTAGACTATAGACTAGACTATAGACTAGACTATAGACTAGACTATAGACTAGACTATAGACTAGACTATAGACTAGACTATAGACTAGACTATAGACTAGACTATAGACTAGACTATAGACTAGACTATAGACTAGACTATAGACTAGACTATAGACTAGACTATATAGACTAGACTATAGACTAGACTATAGACTAGACTATAGACTAGACTATAGACTAGACTATAGACTAGACTATAGACTAGACTATAGACTAGACTATAGACTAGACTATAGACTAGACTATAGACTAGACTATAGACTAGACTATAGACTAGACAATAGACTAGACTATAGACTAGACTATAGACTAGACTATAGACTAGACTATAGACTAGACTATAGACTAGACTATAGACTAGACTATAGACTAGACTATAGACTAGACTATAGACTAGACTATAGACTAGACTATAGACTAGACTAGATTATAGACAAGATTACAGACTAAACTATAGACTATACTAGTTTAGAGACTATAGAGTAGACCATAGACTAGACTATAGAATATACTATAGACTAGACTTAACTATAGACTATACTTTAGACAAGACTATAGATTAGATTATAAACTAGAATATAGACTACACTATAGACGCGACTATTCACTATATTATAGACTGCACTATGGGCTAGACTATAGACTATACATAGACTAGACTATTGACTAGATTATAGACTACACTATAGACTAGATTATAGACTAGACAAAAGATTAAACTATAAGACTATAGAATAGATTAGACTTCAAACTTGACTAGACTATAGAGTAATGAATTACTAGAGTATAGACTACAATAAATTGCACAATTTTATGTTTTTTGTTGTTTTTATTATTTTTTTGTTTCTTCTTAAAACAGAAAGTTTTCATTAAAATAACGTTTTATTTTATTTTTTTTTTTGTAATTTTTTTTAGTATAATTTGGGTTTTTTATAAATTAAGAGGAAAAAAATCCTAAGAAATATATTTTTGGGGGGTAGAAATAAAATAAAGTTGTAAATTAGTTTTAAATAATAAAATAATCATTTATTTTAATTTATATAGAAGAATAAACTAAAAACTATATAAAGGGCTTGTTGTTGGTTTTTTTTAATTTGTTACAGTTTTCTAATTTTAATTTTGTATAATTAAGAAATTTTGTTTTATAATATTTTACAACAATAATATAGAGTTTATAATTTATTATATATATGTATTTTGTTAGTTTTATTTTAATTAGTTTAATGTATATCATAATTAAGTTTGTTTAAGAATTTAATAACTATACAATAAAATAATTAAATTTCAAAAATAAAATTACAATTTCCTTTTGAAAAGAAAAAAAATATTTAGGAAATGTTTTAATTTAAAATTAAATTAAATTAAATTAAATAAGATATATTAATAGCTAATAGGGAAAGGTTTTGTGGATTTTGGAAAGATAATGTTGGGGTTTTAAATAAAATTATTATTATTTATTCCTTTTTTTGGTATAAAAATGGAAAGATTGCTATTTGTTTAAATGGTTTTTTTTATTTAAATGTTTTAACAAAAAACATAACTATTAAATAAAGTTTATTTTTTTTACTTAAATCTTTTACATATATGTATACGTTTATCCTAAGCAAGTAATAACAATTTTCCTATATAAAAAAGTTTGACTTAATTTTTATGGATACAATTTTTGTTTTTTTTTTATTGTTTTTTTTTTTTGTTGTTTTTTCATAATTTTCTTTTCATATTTAAAATTAATTTAACAAAAAATAGCTAAAAACACCTTTGAACTTAATAGTAAAATTATTATAATTAAAAATAGCAATAAATTTATAAGCAAACTCTAAGAGTTCTAATTAAGTATATAATTAAGTATATAAAGTAGTTATAAGTAGGACCTGGTTTATAATAAACTTAAACTTAAAGTTCCAAAAACAAAAAGTTATATTTTTCTGCTGGATGGATTTTCTTTTTTATGTTTAGCTTTAGTTAGCTTTTCATATTATCCTTAAAGCAGTTTAAGTATTTGTTTATTGTTTTTTTTTTCTTAATAAGTACAAAATATTCCTTTCAAACTATATATACATACATACTTTAAATTGTAATTTACAAAATTATAAAAAAAAAAAAGATTAAATAAAAATTAAAATAAAAAAATTTAACTAACATGCACAAGTTTTTTTTTTTGTATTCTTCATTCCTAACGATTTTTTGTTTTCTTTCTAAGAGTGAAAGTAAGTAGGAGTGTTTAAATAAGTGTCTAGAGATAAGAGTGTTTTTATTTGAAAAAAGTTTGGAAAAAGTTTGGAAAAAATCATAACTTTTATATAAAAAAGTTCTAAAAGTTATATACAGAAAAGTTGCCGATAATATTAATCTACTTTTGACAGAGAAGATAGAGTCTAAGAAGGTCTAATACTTTCTTAAGCTTTTTCACTAAAAAGTTGCCCAGATTCTGATCAACTTCTTCGCTGAAAAGTTGCTCTAAGTCTGATAAACATTTTTACTAAAAATTGGCTCTGAATCTGGTCAATGTTTTTACAGGAGTGTTGCTCTTAATCTGATCAATGTTTTACAAGAATGTTGCTCTTAATCTGATCAATATTTTCACTGAAAAGTTGCTCTAAAACTAATCAAGTTTTTCTCTGAAAAGTTGTTCAGATTCTAATCAAAGTTGGACCAGATTATAATTAACTTTCCCCTAAATCTGATCAACTTTATATTACAGAGTTGCTCTGAATCTGACCAAAATTTTTAGTAAAAAGTTGTTCAGATTACGGCCAACTTTTCTTTATTAAAAAGTTGCTTTTACTCTGAATCTGATGAACTTGTTGCTAAAAAGTTGCTTTGAATTTGATCAACTTTTTTACCATAAAGTTGGTTTGAATTTGATCATTTTTTTCACTAAAAACTTGTTTTAAATTTGATCAACTTTTTTATTAAAAAGTATCTCCGATTCCGACCAACTTTTTTACTAAAAAGTTGCTCTGAGTATGAGCAATATGTTCACTTAGAACTTGCTCTAAGCTTTTTTGCCAAAAAGTTGCTCAGAATTTGATCTACTTTTTTACTAAAAAGTTGCTCTGAATCTGATCAACTTTTTTTTTACTAAAATCTTGCTTTGAATTTGATCACTTTTTTCTGAAAAGTTGCTCTGAATTTGATCAACCTTTTCACTGAAAAGTTTCTCTGAATCTGATCAAGTTTTTTACTGAAAAGTTGCTCTGAATCTGATCAAATTTTTTACTAAAAAATTGCTCTGAATCTGAGCAACCTCTTAGTAAATCTGACAACTTTTTCACTGAAAAGTTGCTCTGAATCTGATCAACTTTTTCACCAAAAAGTTTCTCTGAATTTGATCAACTTTTTCATCAAAAAGTTGCTTTGAATCTGACCATCTTTTTTACCAAAAAGTTGCTTCGAATTTCATCACTTTTTCACTGAAAAAGTTGCTCTGAATTTGATCAACTTTTTTTCCAAAAAGTTGCTTTGAATTTGATCAACTTTTTCACAGAAAAGTTGCTTTGAATTTGATAACTTTTTCACTGAAAAGTTGCTATAATTTTGAGCAACTTTTTTGCCAAAAAGTTGCTTTGAATCTGATGAACTTTTTGACCAAAAAGTTGCTCTGAATTTGATTAACTTTTTTACTAAAAAGTTGCTTAAAATTTGATCCACATGTTCACTGAAATGTTGCCTTAAATTCAACTTTTTCACAGAAAAGTTGCTTTGAATTTGATAACTTTTTCACTGAAAAGTGGCTATAATTTTGAGCAACTTTTTTGCCAAAAAGTTGCTTGAATCTGATCAACTTTTTCACCAAAAAGTTGCTTTGAATTTGATCAACTTTTCAGCAAAAAGTTGCTTTGAACTTGATCAACTTTTTCACCCAAAAGTTGCTTTGAATTTCATCACTTTTTCACTGAAAAATTTGCTCTGAAATTGATCAACTTTTTCACTGAAAAGTTGCTATAATTTTAAGCAACTTTTTTGCCAAAAAGTTGCTTTGAATCTGATGAACTTTTGACCAAAAAGTTGCTCTGAATTTGATTAACTTTTTTTACTAAAAAGTTGCTTAAAATCTGATCCACATGTTCACTGAAAAGTTGTCTTAAGTTTAATCGCTTTTTTACCACAAGGTTGCTGTGAATCTTATCAACTCTTTTAATGTAAATGTAATCAGTTTCCGATCATCTTATATACAAAAAGTTGTTCAGATTCTGATGAACTTTAAAAAAAAACTTGCTCTGAATCCAATCAACGTTTTCACAGAAAGATTGCTCTGAATATGTTCAATTCGTTAATAAAAAGTTATCTACATTTTAATCAGTGAAAAGTTGTTCAAATTCTGAACAACTCCTTTTTAATAAAAACATCGGATTTTCCAAAAATAAACAAAATATTTCGCAAAAATAAAGTTTAACAGTTTATACCTTAATAAAGGTACTACCTGCTTCTTTAAGCTGCTAAAGCTTAAAGAAAAAGTAAAACTTTAAGCCTAAATATAATCAAAAACACTCCTTAGCTCCTACCTAGAAAAAACTAACATCTTAAATAAAGACCCTAGATCATTTTAAAACGAACTATAACTTTCTTTTCATTAAACTAAAACTCTCAACAATCTATATTTTTATTAGTATACGCTAAGTTTAAAGATTGTGGTGGTGCAGGAGTAGGATGCTGTATGGCAGCTGCTGCTGTTGATCCCGCTAGAGTGGGTGTTGAAGTAGCTGGCGGTGTTTGTAGTTGTGGTGTGGGTGCATGTGATGGCAAATGAAAATGTTGATCTGGGGATGATGGTGTATTCGGCTCAAAATCAAAGAAATTATTTAGAGGATTATCATCGGAAGCGGGTGTATCGAAATTTTGTTCAGCACTTATTTCATAATAAGCCGGTTTAGCTTTAGCATGATCTATTTCCATGGTATGTAAAGGTTCTTCGGTGATTTGTGGCCAATTTTGATAGAATTTCAAATCGTATTCAATTTGCATGTATTTACGTTTAGAGGTGCGTAAATCACGATCACGTCTAGCTTGGAATTTCTTAAAGAGTAAATATTCCACAACCAAAGTTTCGACCACTACATGGGCAATGAAATTCAAAACACCATAAATCAACATCCAATAGCGGAAATTCATTTGGGGCGGTAAGATGAGTTGGAAAAATTCTGACAACCATTCGGGTGGTATTAAAATGAGGTAGATAACAATACAGAGATTAGCGATCAGCGTTAGACAGAAGGGTAAATTCGACCAGATGGGACGACGATAGGGTGCACCCTTGGAGAAGACAAACGCCAAGATGATGTATTGAAAACTAGATATGGCAAACATGGTGTAGTTTTCCCAACAGCCCAAATGATCTTCACTGCTGTGCACAAAGGGCTCAAACCATTCCTGTTGATGTAGATGATACCAGCCGGTTACCTGGAATGCTATAACCACCAGCAAATGCAAAACAATCGAGGCTAAAGGCGTTAGTGATATTAATGAAGACAAAGGCACCTGTTTCACTAGTGGCCCCTGGAACGATTCCGTTTTACCAAAGAAAATGCAAAAATCGATATTAAACCCAAATCTATGTATAAATATTGTTTATCAGTCAAATTCGAATCGATGGAATATAAAATCATGACAGAAATAAATTGCACCATGGAATAGGCAGCCATATACTTGAAAATACCAAATGAGGTGACAAGAGCAGCACGACCTTCCTTAATGACATTGGGTACGGCCGCTATGGTGGGATTACGTGAGGTAAACGGCGAGGCTATAGATGATTCAGTTTCACTTAAGGAAATACCTGTGTGCGCCACTTTTAAGGCACCACAATCGTTAGCACCATCACCACACATGGCCACACAGTAGTCTAGATTTTGTAATTCCACTATGAGTGCTTGTTTCTGTTCGGGTGACATGCGTGCATAAATAACGCCGCGAGTCAAAAAGTTTTGCAATAAATCGGGAAAATGATCTTTAACAATTTGCCAAGTTTTGCCTACCATGGCAAAACGATAATTGTCACGCCATTTTTTGTCCTGTAAAGATTGAGCATTATTGGCAGACATTAATGGCGGCGGTTCCCCATCCATGGGTGTGGAAATGCCTAATTCTATATCATTATGAGTCCAAGTATCCATAGTTTCAACACTGCCACAACTTTTACTATTGGGCATGGTTAAAGAAGCAGCACTGGATAGTGAGGCCACATCTCCATTGAGTCTGTGATAGTTATTGTCGCCAGCATATGAGAGTGTATCAGTGGTATTGGAATTGGTTAAAGTGCCATTAGTTTTACCATTTGTTATTGAGGTAGAGGCACACGAAGCACTTCCCAAATCTAAAGTATAATACAATTCATAATTATGATGTTCCTGATCATGGCCATGACCATGACCATGATGGTGATGATGATGTTCATGACCATGATGATGATGATGTCCATGACCATGAGCATGTGTGTGCTCATGACCTTCGTCATTAGCTTCTGGCTTTAGTCTTACATTAACCGTTACCACTGGCTGGGTGGAGCTAACAATACCACAATCTCTGGCCACACTTAAGGCTGTCAATATATTATCTCCTGTTACCATTATAGTTCTAATTTCAGCTTTAGTCAAGGCTCCTATTACTTCTGTCGTATCGGGTTTCAAACGATTCTCCAAGACCACAAAACCCAAAAATTCTAAATCACATTCTACATTTTCACGTGCCAAACGTTGTACTTTAGTGAAATTGATTTTAGGACTCAACTGCTTATAAGCCATGGCTATGACACGATAACCCTGTTTAGCATAAATGGCCAACTGTTGGGAGAAGTTATCGGGTAAACTTTTTGGCACACACAATTGTTGCAACATCTCCGGCGAACCCTTACAGTAGACATTAAAATTCTTCTCACACAAGCGCCTGGTTATCACCGACATTCTTTGTAGATTAGAGGTAAAGGGAAATTCTCTTACCACACCATGATCATTATTCGATTCACCATTGAGTAAACCCACATCAGAGAGTAAATCATCAACAGATGATTGTCTCTCCCTGATATGACTTAAATTCTTTTCACTATCACTATCATCTCCTGTTACTTCTTCGATTTTACGATTTTTCTTTGGTTGTCTTACCACCGTCGATTGCAATAGACCTTCTGGTTGATTTTGTGGATCTTCCAAAATCCATCCAGTAGATTCGAACATTTTCAAATCCAAAGGATCACCCATCATTTTACCATTCATAATGGTAATCGAATGACATGTTACCATACCAAAGAGGAAATTATCACAAGGTAAACGATCAATTTGTTTGATGGGTATTTGAAATTGATTGGTAGCCGATTTGGGTACCACACCCCACATATCTAAACCGTCTTCGGTTAAGGTGCCGGTCTAGAAAAAGAAAATATATAGAATTATTACATAAGGAGACATATTACTGTAAATCTACTTAATAGACTAGTCCATAGACAAGACCACAGACTGGAGAATAGACTAGACCATAGACTAATCAATAGACTAGAGCATAGACTTGTCACTAGGTTAGTCCATTGACTAGCTAATACACTAGTACATAGACTATTCCATAGAATAAACCATAGACTAGACCATAGACTAGACCATAGACTAGATCATAGACTACACCCTAGACTAGTCCATTGAATAGATCATAGACTAGTCAATAGGCAAGTCAATAGACTAGAACATGGACTAGTCCATAGACTAGATCTTAGACCAGTCTATAGACATGATCATAGATTAGGCCATATGCTAGTCAATAGACTAGACAATAGTCTAGTCAACAGACTAGATCATAGACTAGACTATAGATTATTCAATAGACTATTCAAAAGAGTAGACCATAGGGTAGTCAATAGTTTAGTCCGTAGACTAGTCAGTAGTCTAGTCCATAGACTAGCCAATAGTATAGTCCATAGACTTGATCATAGACTAGTCCAAAGACTAATCCATAATCTAGACCATAGAATAGTACGTAGACTAGACCAAAGGCTAGTCAATAGGCTAGGCCATAGACTAGACAATAGACTAGACCATAGATTAGATAATAGACTATTCCAAAGACTAGATCAAATACTAGTCCAAAGACTAGTTCATATACTAGATCGTAGACTAGTCCATAGACTAGTCAACAGACTAGACCATAGGCTAGTTAATAGACTAGTCAATAACCTTGTTAATATACTAGTCTATTGACACCATAGTCTACACAATAGACTAATCCATAGACTATACCAAAGACTAGTTCATACACTAGTCGATAGACTAGACCATAGGCTACTTAATAGACTAGTCAGTAACCTAGTCCATAGACGAGACAGTAGACTAAACTGTCCAAGGACTAGTCAAGATACTAGACTAGAGTAAAAGTTAGACCAACCTTATCGAAACAGCAACAGTCAATGCTGCCGGCCACATTAATGGAACGCGGTGATATACAATAGATGCTATTACGTTCCAAACGTTTTTGGGCATAAAAGCGACCCACAGTCATGGCAGCGGGCAAGGCAGGAGGCACCACAATGGTTATCAAATCCAAAGATTCAACGGCAATCTTAACAGGATCCACATGACGTAAAATCTAAAAGGATTTAAACAAAATTTTACTATCCATACAAAATTTCTCTACAATATTACAAATTCAATAACTTACCTTACTCACTAACGTATAGATGAAACCGATTAAGGCAATAAGACCCAAAAATTCAATAAATTTATAGGAATCTTGTTCAAATTTATAATCAACTGGTGGTGGATATAATATAGAACGTATTAAACCACCTTTGGCAGTTATGTTACCAGTATTAATGACTATAGCCAAAACCTTTTCCGAACCAATTAAACGTGTTTGTATCACTTTAGTGCCGCAGAAAAGTGTGTGGCGTGCATGTTCTTTCTTATCGAATATAACATCACGTTTCATGGGCAGGGGAGTTTTGGTAACAGGTACACTTTCACCTTAACAGAAGAGAGATTGAGAAACACAATATTTAAAGTCATGAAACAATTATAAATATGTTCACTAATTACCCGTCAACATAGATTCATCTAGAATACAATTGCCCGCCAATAAAACAGCATCACATTGCATAGTACAACCACTAGAGGGTATTTCTATTATATCGCCCGGTACCAGGCATTGGGTGGGTAATTCTTGTACATCTCCCTTTTCGCTAACAATCAAAGCTGTTCCCGTATTATGAACCGTTTCACGTAAAGCATCTTGATTCTATAAACATCATTACATTAATAAAAAACCTATTAAATATTTTGTTAAATTCTTTAAAATTACCTTTTTAGTTTGAACTATCGACATGGTTATGCCAAATACTGACATCAATACAATAACACAGGCATAGTAGTAATAGTCATAGGCAAACCATAATGCCACCGAAAATATTTGAAAAACATAAAATGGATTAAGTACTTCTAAGAACAATAGTGTCTTAACATCTTTATAAGGAACTGTTATTTCATTCGGTCCATAAACCAAGCGTCTAGCAATCTGTTCTTGTGCATTTAAACCTTTCTGTTGATGGAAATATGTATTCAAAACATCGACATCTAGACCCTGTAGTTTATCGAAGGTTTGCGTTTGTGAATTCCAGGCATAACGCAATTGTTTACAATTGAAAATACGGGCACTGGAACAATCTGTTAAAAAAAGAAAAAAGAAATTAAATTAAATTAAATTAAATTGTATTAATGACGTCAACTACATAATTTTTCTGAATTTGTGATAGCCACTTATTTTTTTCGTTATCGTTAATAATCTTGTTATAATTTAAGACGAAATAACGAAATCAATTGTTATATTTTTATATTGATAAAAACGTTTTAATTAGAACAGTGGCATTTTTAGGGCCATTTTAAAAACGTTTTATTGCGGACAAATTAATCACGGGATTTGAAAAAAAAATCAATTCGTTTAAATTGTATTCGATAAAGTGATAAGACGGCTCATGAATCAGAGTAAATGTTAGCAATAAGGTAACAGAATCTGACCAACTTTTTGGGAACAATTTTAATTGAATCTCAGCAACTTTCAAATTAACAAGTTGAACAGATTCCAAGCAACTTTTAAGTATTAAAGACTATAGTCTAGTCTATAGTCTAGTCTATAGTCTAGTCTAGTAGTCTATAGTCTAGTCTATAGTCTAGTCTATAGTCTAGTCTCTATAGTCTAGTCTAGTATAGTCTATAGTCTAGTCTATAGTCTAGTCTATAGTCTAGTCTATAGTCTAGTCTATAGTCTAGTCTATAGTCTAGTCTATAGTCTAGTCTATAGTCTAGTCTATAGTCTAGTCTATAGTCTAGTCTATAGTCTCTAGTCTAGTAGTCTAGTCTATAGTCTAGTCTATAGTCTAGTCTATAGTCTAGTCTATAGTCTAGTCTATAGTCTATATAGTCTAGTCTATAGTCTAGTCTATAGTCTAGTCTATAGTCTAGTCTATAGTCTAGTCTATAGTCTAGTCTAGTCTATAGTCTAGTCTATAGTCTAGTCTATAGTCTAGTCTATAGTCTAGTCTATAGTCTAGTCTATAGTCTAGTCTATAGTCTAGTCTATAGTCTAGTCTATAGTCTAGTCTATAGTCTAGTCTATAGTCTAGTCTATAGTCTAGTCTATAGTCTAGTCTATAGTCTAGTCTATAGTCTAGTCTATAGTCTAGTCTATAGTCTAGTCTATAGTCTAGTCTATAGTCTAGTCTATAGTCTAGTCTATAGTCTAGTCTATAGTCTAGTCTATAGTCTAGTCTATAGTCTAGTCTATAGTCTAGTCTATAGTCTAGTCTATAGTCTAGTCTATAGTCTAGTCTATAGTCTAGTCTATAGTCTAGTCTATAGTCTAGTCTATAGTCTAGTCTATAGTCTAGTCTATAGTCTAGTCTATAGTCTAGTCTATAGTCTAGTCTATAGTCTAGTCTATAGTCTAGTCTATAGAGTCTATAGTCTAGTCTATAGTCTAGTCTATAGTCTAGTCTATAGTCTAGTCTATAGTCTAGTCTATAGTCTAGTCTATAGTCTAGTCTATAGTCTAGTCTATAGTCTAGTCTATAGTCTAGTCTATAGTCTAGTCTATAGTCTAGTCTATAGTCTAGTCTATAGTCTAGTCTATAGTCTAGTCTATAGTCTAGTCTATAGTCTAGTCTATAGTCTAGTCTATAGTAGTCTATAGTCTAGTCTATAGTATAGTCTATAGTCTAGTCAATAGTCTAGTCTATAGTCTAGTCTATAGTCTAGTCTATAGTCTAGTCTATAGTCTAGTCTATAGTCTAGTCTATAGTCTAGTCTATAGTCTAGTCTATAGTCTAGTCTATAGTCTAGTCTATAGTCTAGTCTATAGTCTAGTCTATAGTCTAGTCTATAGTCTAGTCTATAGTCTAGTCTATAGTCTAGTCTATAGTCTAGTCTATAGTCTAGTCTATAGTCTAGTCTATAGTCTAGTCTATAGTCTAGTCTATAGTCTAGTCTATAGTCTAGTCTATAGTCTAGTCTATAGTCTAGTCTATAGTCTAGTCTATAGTCTAGTCTATAGTCTAGTCTATAGTCTAGTCTATAGTCTAGTCTATAGTCTAGTCTATAGTCTAGTCTATAGTCTAGTCTATAGTCTAGTCTATAGTCTAGTCTATAGTCTAGGTATAGTCTAGTCTATAGTCTAGTCTATAGTCTAGTCTATAGTCTAGTCTATAGTCTAGTCTATAGTCTAGTCTATAGTCTAGTCTATAGTCTAGTCTATAGTCTAGTCTATAGTCTAGTCTATAGTCTAGTCTATAGTCTAGTCTATAGTCTAGTCTATAGTCTAGTCTATAGTCTAGTCTATAGTCTAGTCTATAGTCTAGTCTATAGTCTAGTCTATAGTCTAGTCTATAGTCTAGTCTATAGTCTAGTCTATAGTCTAGTCTATAGTCTAGTCTATAGTCTAGTCTATAGTCTAGTCTATAGTCTAGTCTATAGTCTAGTCTATAGTCTAGTCTATAGTCTAGTCTATAGTCTAGTCTATAGTCTAGTCTATAGTCTAGTCTATAGTCTAGTCTATAGTCTAGTCTATAGTCTAGTCTATAGTCTAGTCTAGTCTAGTCTATAGTCTAGTCTATAGTCTAGTCTATAGTCTAGTCTATAGTCTAGTCTATAGTCTAGTCTATAAGTCTAGTCTATAGTCTAGTCTATAGTCTAGTCTATAGTCTAGTCTATAGTCTAGTCTATAGTCTAGTCTATAGTCTAGTCTATAGTCTAGTCTATAGTCTAGTCTATAGTCTAGTCTATAGTCTAGTCTATAGTCTAGTCTATAGTCTAGTCTATATAGTCTAGTCTATAGTAGTCTATAGTCTAGTCTAGTAGTCTATAGTCTAGTCTATAGTCTAGTCTATAGTCTAGTCTATAGTCTAGTCTATAGTCTAGTCTATAGTCTAGTCTATAGTCTAGTCTATAGTCTAGTCTATAGTCTAGTCTATAGTCTAGTCTATAGTCTAGTCTATAGTCTAGTCTATAGTCTAGTCTATAGTCTAGTCTATAGTCTAGTCTATAGTCTAGTCTATAGTCTAGTCTATAGTCTAGTCTATAGTCTAGTCTAGTCTAAGTCTAGTCTATAGTCTAGTCTATAGTCTAGTCTATAGTCTAGTCTATAGTCTAGTCTATAGTCTAGTCATAGTCTAGTCTATAGTCTAGTCTATAGTCTAGTCTAGTCTAGTCTAGTCTATAGTCTAGTCTATAGTCTAGTCTATAGTCTAGTCTATAGTCTAGTCTATAGTCTAGTCTATAGTCTAGTCTATAGTCTGTCTATAGTCTAGTCTATAGTCTAGTCTATAGTCTAGTCTATAGTCTAGTCTATAGTCTAGTTATAGTCTAGTCTATGTCTAGTCTATAGTCTAGTCTATAGTCTAGTCTATAGGTCTAGTCTATAGTCTAGTCTATGTCTAGTCTATAGTCTAGTCTATAGTCTAGTCTATAGTCTAGTCTATAGTCTAGTCTATAGTCTAGTCTATAGTCTAGTCTATAGTCTAGTCTATAGTCTAGTCTATAGTCTAGTCTATAGTCTAGTCTATAGTCTAGTCTATAGTCTAGTCTATAGTCTAGTCTATAGTCTAGTCTATAGTCTAGTCTATAGTCTAGTCTATAGTCTAGTCTATGTCTAGTCTATAGTCTAGTCTAGTCTAGTCTATAGGTCTAGTCTATAGTCTAGTCTATAGTCTAGTCTATAGTCTAGTCTATAGTCTAGTCTATAGTCTAGTCTATAGTCTAGTCTATAGTCTAGTCTATAGTCTAGTCTATAGTCTAGTCTATAGTCTAGTCTATAGTCTAGTCTATAGTCTAGTCTATAGTCTAGTCTATAGTCTAGTCTATAGTCTAGTCTATAGTCTAGTCTATAGTCTAGTCTATAGTCTATCTATAGTCTAGTCTAGTCTAGTCTATAGTCTAGTCTATAGTCTAGTCTAGTCTAGTCTAGTCTATAGTCTAGTCTAGTCTATAGTCTAGTCTATAGTCTAGTCTATAGTCTAGTCTAGTCTAGTCTAGTCTAGTCTATAGTCTAGTCTATAGTCTAGTCTAGTCTAGTCTAGTCTAGTCTAGTCTATAGTCTAGTCTAGTCTAGTCTAGTCTAGTCTAGTCTAGTCTATAGTCTAGTCTAGTCTAGTCTAGTCTAGTCTAGTCTAGTCTAGTCTAGTCTAGTCTAGTCTAGTCTAGTCTAGTCTAGTCTAGTCTAGTCTAGTCTAGTCTAGTCTAGTCTATAGTCTAGTCTAGTCTATAGTCTAGTCTAGTCTAGTCTATAGTCTAGTTTATAGTCTAGTCTATAGTCTAGTCTATAGTCTAGTTTATAGTCTAGTCTATAGTCTAGTCTATAGTCTAGTCTATAGTCTAGTCTATAGTCTAGTCTATAGTCTAGTCTATAGTCTAGTCTATAGTCTAGTCTATAGTCTAGTCTATAGTCTAGTCTATAGTCTAGTCTATAGTCTAGTCTATAGTCTAGTCTATAGTCTAGTCTATAGTCTAGTCTATAGTCTAGTCTATAGTCTAGTCTATAGTCTAGTCTATAGTCTAGTCTATAGTCTAGTCTATAGTCTAGTCTATAGTCTAGTCTATAGTCTAGTCTATAGTCTAGTCTATAGTCTAGTCTATAGTCTAGTCTATAGTCTAGTCTATAGTCTAGTCTATAGTCTAGTCTATAGTCTAGTCTATAGTCTAGTCTATAGTCTAGTCTATAGTCTAGTCTATAGTCTAGTCTATAGTCTAGTCTATAGTCTAGTCTATAGTCTAGTCTATAGTCTAGTCTATAGTCTAGTCTATAGTCTAGTCTATAGTCTAGTCTATAGTCTAGTCTATAGTCTAGTCTATAGTCTAGTCTATAGTCTAGTCTATAGTCTAGTCTATAGTCTAGTATAGTCTAGTCATAGTCTAGTCTATAGTCTAGTCTATAGTCTAGTCTGTAGTCTAGTCTGTAGGCTAGTCTATAGTCTAGTCTATAGTCTCGTCTATAGTCTAGTCTATAGTCTAGTCTATAGTCTAGTCTATAGTCTAGTCTATAGTCTAGTCTATTGTCTAGTCTATAGTCTAGTCTATAGTCTAGTCTATAGTTTACACTTGACGTTCAGAATATAAAATTTTTTTATCTTACTTACACTTAAATTGTCCCGTTTCAAAATGCATCGATAAATGAAATTCTTTTCATCAATATTAGCTACTGCATCTATACTATTACAACCATTTGCTAAATTTTCATTATTCGATGATTTTTTCTTTAATTGTTTCGCCCGTTTCAATTGGTCCTGTCTGGAATATAAAAAGAAAAAAATTATTATAAATTTCAATTAGAAACTGATTGTTAAACCTACCTTAAGGTATTAAAATCTAATGTTTGTATTTGTTTAACATAATAGATTTTATGTTTTCCCTTATAGTCTTCTTGGACTAAAACTTTTTCAGCTTCTTCCAGAGGACATATTTCATGGGTGGCCATTAAATACCAATGACGCCACCAATGTAATATTAAACGTAAAAGGCCACCAGTCAAACATATGCAAAGCCAACATAAAAATGTTCTTAGATTTGACCGGCGATAGCCGGTTATATTCATTTCATCATCTTCGTTGGGATTTAATAAACCAAAACATGGTTTTTTATCTGTAAAAGAGAAAGATAAATGGAAAATGTGTTTAAATATTTCTGTTTTATCATTGCGTTAATAAAGTTTATTATTTTTTGTTTCTTTTTTTATAATCTTAGTGCAATAAATCTATTATTTTAAATGTTAACTGCCTTCTAATATTGTAGCGTAGAAACCTTTGAGATTAGGGTTTTTATAATTGTTTAAATACGTTGAAATATTTGTGTAATTAAGTTAGTTAGAAATAATTTTAATTTTATTTTATTTTCATTTACGTACTTCCACGTCTATATATAGGCCAAAATAATTAAAATGCAAACAATGTTTTCAGTCTAAAACTTATTTCGTAATATGAAATTTATGATTTTTTTTATTCTCAAGACATAAAGCAGACAATAAAGTGGTCAGGGTGGAGGAAATACAATATTTAATATTTAAAACTCTTTATTGGCGAACATGAAATTTTAGTGGCCTGATCTGTATGGCTGTCAGTTTAGAGAGGTTGGATTCTATATGGGGAGCTTATCATAGAATTGAGTGTGTCTGCCTGCTGATTAGACAGCTACTCTATATAGAGCTAAATATTGAGATTAATATCAGATCAGTTGAAAAGATCATATTTTAATAAACATTTGTTAGATATAGATATGGTTTGATATTAATATATTATACTAGTCTATTTTATAGCGCAGTTCAGTCTGTATAGTCTAGTCTAACTTATAGTGTGCTATTTATTCTAGTCTACAGTCTAGTGTGTTGCTAAAATATATGTATTTGAGTCAAATTTGAAGTCTAATTTACTCTACAGTCTAGTCTATAGTCTAGTCTATACTCTAGTATATAGTCTAGTCTATAGTCTAGTCTATAGTCTAGTCTATAGTCTAGTCTATAGTCTAGTCTATAGTCTAGTCTATAGTCTAGTCTATAGTCTAGTCTATAGTCTAGTCTATAGTCTAGTCTATAGTCTAGTCTATAGTCTAGTCTATAGTCTAGTCTATAGTCTAGTCTATAGTCTAGTCTATAGTCTAGTCTATAGTCTAGTCTATAGTCTAGTCTATAGTCTAGTCTATAGTCTAGTCTATAGTCTAGTCTATAGTCTAGTCTATAGTCTAGTCTATAGTCTAGTCTATAGTCTAGTCTAAGTATAGTCTATAGTCTAGTCTAAGTATAGTCTATAATCTAGTCTACTATCTAGTCTATTATCTAGTTTACAATCTAGTCTATATCCTACTTTTCAGTATAGTCTGTAGAGAAGTATATAGCCTAGTCTATAGCTTGGTCTTTAGTTCAGTTTATAGTTTAGTCTAGCCTATAGTTTAGTTTTTAGTCTAGTCTTTAGTTAAGTCTTTAGTCCAGTCTGTAGTTAGTCTACAGTCAAGTCTATAATCTAGTCTGTAGTCTAGTCTATAGTCTAGTCTAGTCTATAGTCTAGTCTAGTCTATAGTCTAGTCTATAGTCTAGTCCATAGTCTAGTCTATAGTCTAGTCTATAGTCTAGTCCATAGTCTAGTCTATAGTCTAGTCTATAGTCTAGTCTATAGTCTAGTCTGTAGTCTAGTCTATAGTCTGGTCTATAGCCTAGTCTATAGTCTAGTCTATAGTCTAGTCTATAGTCTAGTCTACGGTCTAGTCTATAGTCTAGTCTATAGTCTAGTCTATAGTCTAGTCTATAGTCTAGTCCATAGTCTAGTCTATAGTCTAGTCTATAGTCTAGTCTATAGTCTAGTCTATAGTCTAGTCTAGTCTATAGTCTAGTCTATAGTCTAGTCTATAGTCTAGTCTATAGTCTAGTCTATAGTCTAGTCTATAGTCTAGTCTATAGTCTAGTCTATAGTCTAGTCTATAGTCTAGTCTATAGTCTAGTCTATAGTCTAGTCTATAGTCTAGTCTATAGTCTAGTCTATAGTCTAGTCTATAGTCTAGTCTATAGTCTAGTCTATAGTCTAGTCTATAGTCTAGTCTATAGTCTAGTCTATAGTCCTATAGTCTAGTCTATAGTCTAGTCTATAGTCTAGTCTATAGTCTAGTCTATAGTCTAGTCTATAGTCTAGTCTATAGTCTAGTCTATAGTCTAGTCTATAGTCTAGTCTATAGTCTAGTCTATAGTCTAGTCTATAGTCTAGTCTATAGTCTAGTCTATAGTCTAGTCTATAGTCTAGTCTATAGTCTAGTCTATAGTCTAGTCTATAGTAGTCTATAGTCTAGTCTAAGTCTAGTCTATAGTCTAGTCTATAGTCTAGTCTATAGTCTAGTCTATAGTCTAGTCTATAGTCTAGTCTATAGTCTAGTCTATAGTCTAGTCTATAGTCTAGTCTATAGTCTAGTCTATAGTCTAGTCTATAGTCTAGTCTATAGTCTAGTCTATAGTCTAGTCTATAGTCTAGTCTATAATCTAGTCTATAGTCTAGTCTATAGTCTAGTCTATAGTCTAGTTTTTGGCTAGTCTATAGTCTAGTCTATAGTCTAGTTTATAGTCTAGTCTATAGTCTAGTCTATAGTCTAGTCTATAGTCTAGTGTATAGTCTAGTCTATAGTCTAGTCTATAGTCTAGTCTATAGTCGAGTCTATAGTCTAGTCTATAGTCTAGTCTATAGTCTAGTCTAGTCTATAGTCTAGTCTATAGTCTAGTCTATAGTCTAGTCTATAGTCTAGTCTATAGTCTAGTCTATAGTCTAGTCTATAGTATAGTCTAGTCTATAGTCTAGTCTATCGTCTAGTCTATAGTCTAGTATTATAGTCTATAGTCTAGTCTATAGTCTAGTCTATAGTCTAGTCTATAGTCTAGTCTATAGTCTAGTCTATAGTCTAGTCTATAGTCTAGTCTATAGTCTAGTCTAGTCTATAGTCTAGTCTATAGTCTAGTCTATAGTCTAGTCTATAGTCTAGTCTATAGTCTAGTCTATAGTCTAGTCTATAGTCTAGTCTATAGTCTAGTCTATAGTCTAGTCTATAGTCTAGTCTATAGTCTAGTCTAGTCTAGTCTATAGTCTAGTCTATAGTCTAGTCTATAGTCTAGTCTATAGTCTAGTCTATAGTCTAGTCTATCTATAGTCTAGTCTAGTCTATAGACTAGTCTATAGTCTAATCTATAGTCTAGTCTATAGTCTAGTCTATAGTCTAGTCTATAGTCTAGTCTATAGTCTAGTCTATAGTCTAGTCTATAGTCTAGTCTATAGTCTAGTCTAGTCTAGTCTATAGTCTAGTCTATAGTCTAGTCTATAGTCTAGTCTATAGTCTAGTCTATAGTCTAGTCTATAGTCTAGTCTATAGTCTAGTGTATAGTCTAGTCTATAGTCTAGTCTAAAGTATATAAGCGTATATTGATATGATATACTTAGTCTTAATAAATACACACCTTTTGACGCGATTAAAAATGAGTCTGGCATGGAAGTTAATAACTTTAGGAATCTTTAAAACCTGAATGTGTAACTAACCGTTTCAAAATAATTATTAAATGTTCAAGAAAAAAACTTTGTGCTAAAATCAGTTTTATTATAAAATTATTAAATCAAATAATTATGTATAATTTAAAAAAAGTACAAAATAACAAAATAACAGACATTAATAAACAAATACAATAAAATACAAACAACTATTCCCCATAAAGATCATTCTGATACAAAAATTCATAATAAAACATTTTAAAAATGTTGAAAAATTTCAATTGTTGACACTTTAATTAACAGACAAGTGAAAAAAGATTTACTTCTATTATAATAAAACAAATACTAATAAATAATAACAACATTTAATTGTAACGTTTAAATGAATTTTCATAGAAAAGAAATTAAATATTTTTTTTATTAAATTGCCATGATTTGTTAAGTTTTTATGTCAATATTTAAGTTGTTGATTTCATTTTAGGAGTCACATCAATTTAATGCCCAATTTAACATTTCATGTCAAAAACTATTGTCGGGAATTTAAAATTATATGGTTTTTAGACATATTTTTGATTTAAAGTTTGTGTAATTTAACAAAATGCTAATCAATAGTTTTTTCCATTAAGATTTTTTGCTAGTCTAGTTAACGACAGGTTAGAAGATTTAATGTTGGCCTTAATATTCTAATTAGAGCTTTATTAATTTTATGTTTAAAAAAAGTACGATCGATGGCGCTTGTCTTGCAAATTAACAAAGTTATTAAATATAGAATAATAATTTTGAACTTAGTAAAGTTTTTAATTTACTTTTAAGTAATCATTCAGAGAACTCGTGAGTAAAAATAAAAGCAAATATATACAAACTTATCTAATTGAAATTTTCGAGAACTAACTTAAAACATGACTGAACATGAAATGCATGGTTTTATTTTAGCTAGAGGTGCGAAAAAGTTAATACAGTTGTAACTCGTAATCACCATATAACTTCGTCCCAAAAGTTAGAATATGTTCTAAAGATACAACAACAAATAAACAATTAAACGCATTTTCATTGAAAATAAAAAAAACAACCGAAATTGTATTGTTTTTTTTTTTTTGGTATTCAGATAAGCCGCATAAAAATTTTCCATTGCAAATTCAGAAAGAAACAATTGATAACGAAATCTTACATTTTAAAAGATCGGAAATTAATAATTAAAAAAAAGATGTCCACCTATCAATGCCCTAAAGTAAGAAATCAGGTAATGGAATAGCCTAGACCATAGACTAGACTAAACTATATACTAAACTGTAGTCTTGACTATAGACTAGACTAAAAACTACAGAACAGACTAGACTATAGATTATAGAGTAGACTACAGAAAAGATTAGACTATATAATAGATTATAGAGTAGACTACAGACTATATTATAGACTAGACCATAAAATACAGAACATACTAGACTATATAATAGACTATGTACTAGACAATAGACTAGATTATAGACTAGACTATAGACTAGACTAATAGACTAGACTATAGACTAGACTAATAGACTAGACTATAGACTAGACTATAGACTAGAGTATAGACTAGACTATAGACTAGACTGTAGACTATACTATAGACCAGACTATAGACTAGAATATAGACTA